AGATGGCTTCCTGGAAGTCCACCGGCACCTACGTCGATGAGGTTCCCCCACCTGGGGCGAACATCATCAGTGGCATGTGGATTTTCAGGGTGAAGCAGCCGCCGGGTTCTCCACCTGCCTTCAAGGCACGTTACGTTGCTCGAGGCTTCAGTCAGCGTGCGGGGGTCGACTTCTTTCAGACCTTCTCCCCCACCCCAAAGATGACCACTCTTCGGGTGTTGCTACACGTTGTAGCTCAGCGTGACTACGAGCTGCACTCCCTCGACTTCTCGACTACTTTCTTGCATGGTAGTCTTCACGAGGCCATCTGGTTGCGCCGTCCGTAGGGCTTCACTGGGTCGTTTCCTCCTGGTACCCAGTGGAGCCTACGCTGACCAGTGTACGGCCTGCGTCAGGCGCCCCGTGAGTGGCACGACACACTGAGGACGAAACTTGCGGCTCTTGGGTTTTCTCCTTCGACTGCGGACCCGTCGCTGTTTCTACGCACCGACAGTACTCTGCCGCCGTTCTACATCCTCGTGTACGTCGACGACTTGGTTTTTGCTACTGCTGACATTGAGGCACTGGCCCTAGTGAAGGCGGAGCTGTAGGAGAGACCCACTTGCACTGACCTGGGTGAGCTGCGGAGCTATCTTGGCTTGCAGATCACCCGAGACAGAGCACGGCGCACCATCACCCTGACTGGGTCACACATGGTGCACCAGGTCCTTAAGCGCTTCGGCTTCCAGTTCTCCTAGCCACATCCCACTCCTCTGTCTACCGGCCACTCGCTCTCAGCTCCACCTTTGGATGAGTCCGTAGAGCCGAGTGGTCCGTACCCAGAGATTGTGGGTTGCCTCATGTACTTGATGACGTGCATACGACCTGACCTCGCGTACCCTCTCAGCCTTCTGGCTTGCTGCGTAGCTCCTGGTAGACACCGAAAGGTGCACTGGGATGCTGCGAAGAGGGTACTGCGTTACTTGTGCAGTACTTCCGGCATGGGGCTCGTCCTTGGAGGACGGAGCTTAGTGGTACCTACTGGACACTCTGACACTTCTTGGGCCAACGACCAGGCGAGTCAGCGTTCGTCATAGGGTTACACCTTTAGTCTTGGCTCTGGTTCTGTCTCGTGGAGGTCCACTCGTTCTTCGTCTGTGCTTGGCTCCAGCTGTGAGGCCGAGATCTACGCTGGGGCCATGGCTGCACAGGAGCTACGCTGGGTGACCTACCTGCTGACCGACTTGGGGGAGCGGCCTCGTTCCCCTCCAGTTCTGTACGTCGACAACAAGGCAATGCTTGCCTTGTGTCGTGAGCAGAGACTGCAGCACAAAATGAAGCACATTGCTCTTCGCTACTTCCTTGCGCGTGAGCTGCAGCAGCGTGGTCAGCTGCGCATTGCTTACGTGGCCTCTCGGGCCAACACTGCTGATGTCTTCACCAAGGCCCTTGGGTCTGGTTATCATCAGCGTTTCTGCACTGCTCTTAGGCTTGTGCCCACGGTGCCTCACCTGCTGGTTGCTTGACTTGCTCTTGTTGTACACTGCTATATATATTTATACCTCCGTGTTTACTCATGCTAGGTTGTGATCAGTGTACTGCATTGCTATTTATAAATCTGCATGTGAACTGGCCTTGTGGCTGCCTCCTTGTGCTCAGATTGTGTGGATTCCTTGAGATCCACCCTGGGCTTTGCTTTGCTTGTTCTCTTTCTTGACTGGTCTTGTGACCACTGTTCGATTTGGCTATCCCCTACTTCACCTATGGGGGTGTGTCAAAACATATTGTTTGTTCATGTTACTTTAGGTTATGTAGGGGTCACACCTTAGAGGGTACAACCCAACTCTCTCGACATCCTTGTACTCCCTCCCTCTTACCTAATTCACAGTTCTTCCTAGCTAATCTCGACACTCCTGAGTTCATTTTTCAGTTTCTGTATTATCTAACCCTGTAGTACGCATTGTTAAAGGGATCGGCTGCGGCAATATCAAGATTGACATGGTTAGAGTATCACTCATACCGTACAATGAAAATCTTACCAGATATAGCATTGTCGTGTAGAAAATTGGGACCTCGGAAGTAGAGGTTTGCTTAGGTGTGACTGCGCCAATTTTAAAGTGACGCTAAGCAGCCTTGGATTGCGCAGTACTTGGGCTGATCCTGGTCTTCCAAACGTTGGGGTTGTACGAGCTGTAACATTAAATTAGCACAGAATCTAGTCAACATCCCAAGAAGTGTTTTGGCTTTTTCAGTTATTGCTTTAAGCTGGGTTGACTTCAAGGACACGATTCCGCAATTATTGTTGCCTCAGCCAGATCCTGTCAGAAGTGCCGCCTTTTCAGAGCCAGTCCATGTCAGGCGCTCACGGCTGGATGTCAAATGAGATGTGGGGCGGAAATGCTCAACCAGTTACCGTCACATATGCTCCACCGTCCGATAAGGAGGGTCACATTGCTGCCTAATTTGATGTCGCCCTCGATTTTTCGCCACATTATTGCGCTCGTCTTCCCTCACGAAATTACACCCTAGCGATAAGGTTTGCTCTTCGGTCTCCGCGTTAACCGCTAGCATTCGCCTGTTTTCATCCATCCAAAAACATACCATCCGTGAAAGGACAACTTTTCGCAACCGTGACACCCGCTCCCTCTGGGAGGACATTCCCCAAACAGTCTTGAATCTGTGCGATTATTCCGCTGCTCGTCGGAGTCACATCGGGATCCCTTGATCGAACGGTGATGGTGCTGGCTCAGCTGTACGACTCGAGCATCGCGTTCCCAATTCCCCATCCATTCCACCTCACACAGCCTCGTCACCAATACGCGTTCCATCGCGTTCCTCATTCGACCCGGCTGGCCAATCCAGAACGGGTTGACCATCTCAGCCCAACAAGTACTTCTGCTGCTCCTATGCTTTTGCTTTTGCGATCCTTCTCCTCAGCCATCATTTAGTTAGCTAATACAATCGCTAAACAAACTTCCCACCAGTTAGTTTCACCGTCTTTTGCCACCATCTCTTCCCGCCACTGATCGTCATGGGTTCGACTTCTGCTGATTACCATCAGGTGGCGTCCGCGCCATGCCAAGACCATCGCCGGAACCAAACGTGCTGCTGCCACTCGAGGAAACGAAAAGCCTATTCAAATGGTCTTGACGGCGAGTTCGACACTTCCAGTAGTCCGCTGAAAAGGGGCCGCGGCACGGCGCGCGCCTCGCACACTGCGGTATCCCATTACGTATTTCCAGGGGCGAGTCAACATATGAATGAGTTTTATGAAATCGACGATAGAATTCTGGGGACGGGGAAATTCGGAACCGTGCGAAGATGCACGTGCCGATCAACGGGGATGCAATACGCTTGCAAGTCCATATCCAAGGCGACGCTAATCGAAGCGGATGATATAGAGGACGTGCGTCGTGAGGTGCGCCTTCTGCAGAAAGCAATGTGTCATCCAGGCGTGATGCGGCTGCACGCGGTGTTCGAAGACGACAGCAACGTGTATCTGGTTACAGAACTCTGCGACGGCGGCGATCTCTTCGACGAAATCGCGAGACGCGGGCGATTCAGCGAGCGCGACGCGGCGCAGGTGTTCATGCAAGTGACGTCGGCCGTCGCATTCTGCCATTCCCGCGGCGTGATGCATCGCGACATCAAACCCGAAAACATCCTCCTCTCCACCTCCCCGCTCCTACCCGAAAGAACACCGTCGGACCCGGCGGAAAAACCGGCGCAATCGCAACCCTCGATCGCCAAACACCAGCACCGCTCATACCACTCCGTGAAACTCGCGGACTTCGGTCTCGCGGTCCCCTTGGATCGCGGCGAGTGGACGACGGGCCCCGCGGGGTCGCCGTACTACATGGCGCCCGAGGTGATTTCCGGCCAATACGGCCTCTCCGCCGACGTCTGGTCCCTCGGCGTCGTGCTTCACATTCTTCTCACCGGCTCTCCGCCTTTCTGGGGCCCGGATGATCAAGGGATCCTAGACAGCGTGGTGAATGGGCGGGTGGATTTGGGAGAAAATTCGGCGGCGTGGGCGGGCGGGCGCGTCTCGGCGGAGGCGCGCGGACTGATTCGGTGCATGCTGGAGAGGGACCCGCGGCGACGGCCTTCCGCCAACAAGGTGCTCTCGCACCCCTGGCTGCTGCTGCACGCGTTCGGAGGGCGCATCGTGCGGAAGGTGAAGGGCTGCGCACACGCGGAGGAGGGAAAACATGCGCCAGCGACGGCGGGTGTGATTGTATCGAATGTTGGCGCAGTTGAAGGCATGTAAAGCGCGAGGTCTCCGCTCGCGACGCTCCTTCGCAGGAATCGTCCTGCAGAAAAACGGGCATGCGCGGGCAGCGTCGAGCGCGGGATATGCCGTCGAGGCGGAATGGCGCTCAAGGCGCAGCTTGCGGTGGCGACCATCTCTCGGCGGAGCGCAAGACCGGGCTCTGCTGATCTCCGACGAGCAGCGAAGGGCGTTCGCGACAGGAAAGGGCCTACTCTTGTGCGTGGCCTCGAACCGTTGGATCTTAGGAAGCAGCAGCTGTCAAGGGTGTCGCGGGAAGGGCGCTACTTCCTCACATTCGAGCGAATCACTTCAGGGGTGGCTGGCGAGGCGAAGTGTGGCTGAACAAGCATCAACAGATTTAGATAAAATTGTATATTCGTATCAGTGTATCTCTTTAGTGTAGGTGGACTGCTTGAACATAACGTAGGATCCAACATAACACGTATAATTATTCTGAAATTTAGTGCACAGCTTATTTCTTGAGAATAAATTACAATGGTAACAGACAGCAAATGCTGCAAGTAGCAGTAAGACTTCTTAAATGCAGGGAATTTAAGCTAAAAAGGAAGAGATGGGGGTAATCTAGGATGAACTGTGGCAAGTCTGGCCAGTGAAGCTTGCAACCACGATATCGGGGACAGCCGTGGTGGAACAGATGAAGATGGGCCCTACATGCCTCAAACGAAGCTGCTCCACCTGTTTGCCCTGATGCTTATGCTGATAACGCACAGCAGGCTGCTCACTGCGCTCATAATCTAAACACGGGCACGCCAACCGCCTTTCCGATCCCACTGCTCTCCCCACCCCGACCCCCACCCCCGCCTGCCAAGAGCGGCTCTGTCCCGGCTGTTTGCGGAGACGGCTTCCTCTCCCCCCTGCTGCCACCTGTCATCCCCTCACTGGCTGCTGCTGCTCCCCTTTGCACCACCGCATCACCCACAGGATGTGCTGCAGAGGAGGCGGAGAGAGGAACGTTCTGGGAAACGTCCTCGGGGCCGTCGACAACAACTGAGACGAGCTCACATGAGTGGTACGGCGAGGCTTCACTGGACCGGTCGCGGCTTGCGGGTGGAATGGCATGGGGTGTGTGGGTGCTGGCGTCAGCATCAGCAGCCACACGGCCTGAGCTGGCAGCACTGAAGGCAGCAGCGCCACTGCTGGCGGCACTGCGAGCGGCGGCAAAGGCAGCAGAAGCCGCAGCTGCAGCAGCAGAGGTCACTGCAGACACGGCAGCCGCAGCAGCTGAAGCTGAACTCCCAGGCCCGTCCGACACACTCCTGGGACGGAGGTGTGCAGGAGGGCTTGTGCCCGCCACCGCTTCCAACCCATCCGAACCCATTCGCACAGCAGGAGAGGCCTGCGCACTGCTGGAAAATGGATGCCGCTTCACCGGCACAAGACGAGTTTGTGCGTGCCGGTCGGCATGCTTTGACTTCTTCCCGCCACCCTCTTCATCCCCGTCCTTATCATCATCATCGGAGGAGGAAGAGGAGTTGTCACCGCCTGCACCACCCTCCTCCTCATCGCCATCCAGCATGGTGAAGGCGGACTGCAGCGAGGGATGCAGGTAGGCGCGTGCGAGGAAGGAGTGCGGGTCCTCGTTGGGGTGCACAGTGCGGTCTATTGTGTCCTTGCGATTCGCCTCCTGTGTTGTGGGGGATTGCAGGGAGGTATGCAGGTAGGCAGGCAGGCAGGCAGGCGGGAGGCAGGGAAGCAGGCAGGGAGGCAGGGAGTGGATGGTGGAAATGAGGGCCTTGTGTTGCAGTGAATGGGGTGATGATGGTGTCGTTGCAATGAGTGCCAGGAAGGAGTGCAGCACGGGTCCTCATTGGGGTGCACCGTGCGGTCTATCGTGTCCCTCCTGTTCGCCTCCTGGCAGCGTGGGGAGTAAGCACACAAAGAGCAGCGGGGCAGGCAGGCAGGTAGGCAAAGAGGTATGGAGGCAGGCAAGGAAGTAGGGAGGCAGGGAGTGGATGGTAGAAACGAGGGCGTTGCAGCAAGTGGGAGTGGCAACGACCAGTGAGGGTCCTCGTTGGGATTCACACTACAGTCTATCGTGTCCTTCCAGTTCGCCTCCTCTGGTGTGGGAGGTTGGGGAAACAAACCCAGGCAGCGAGGCAGGGAGGCAGGGAGGCAGGGAGTGGATGGTGGATGGTGGATGGTGTTGCAGTGTATCGTGTGACGATGGTGTCCTTGCAATGAGTGCGAGTGGCAGCGAGGATGAATAGGGGTAGAGGGTTTGAACGGCGGATTTGCTGTGCTTCTACACAATCACCAGCTTTGTGGCCTGCACTGCACCCAATGCACAGGGGGCTACCTGTACCGACCCACAGGACGGCGCGCTCCAAGGGCGAGCTTGGAGACGGTGCTGGAGAAGTGCCCGCGGGCTAAACAACAGCCCAGTCCAGTGCACGGCATGGCAGCATTGAGGCGCCTCACCAGTGCTCTCCCACCTCTGCTGTCATGCAGCAGACAAACGCACCTCACAAGCGAGCTTGGAGCGGACGCACCTCGAGGGCGAGCTTGGAGAAGGTGCTGGAGAATTGGCCACGGATGAACGCCCAGTGCACTATGAGCGTGACAAGTAGCGACAGCTCTGCGGTGCCTCAGAAGTGGTCCCACACACCACTGTAGCGCAGGGGATGGACGCACCTCGAGGGCGAGCTTGGAGAAGGTGCTGTGGAACTGGCCGCGGATGAACGCCCAGTGCACGATGATGGTGACAAACGGCAGCGGGATGAGGCAGCACGCCTGCGTGGGCGCGTCCTTGAGCGAGAGGATGCCGCCCAGTGTCACCTGCTGCACCAGCATGGCCGCCACCAGCCGCGCGTGGAAGTGTGGCCAGAACGCCCCCGCCATCTCGTACCGTGGACAGTACACGTTGATTATCTGCCGGGGGGGCAGGGGAAGGGGGGGGGGGAGAGGGGAGGGGGCGCACGGGTAGGTTCTTGCCACGTCATGGTACGTGGCATAGATGCTGGTTGAGTGGATGGCACGACCCACAACATGCCAAACGGAGGAGGAAAGAGGGGAAGTGCGGTGACGTGAGCCTGACCTCCTAGGCAGGGGCATAGTAGCTCCAGGCAGGGGCATAGTAGCTCCAGGCAGGGGCATAGTAGCTCCAGGCAGGGGCATAGTAGCTCCAGGCAGGGGCATAGTAGCTCCAGGCAGGGGCATAGTAGCTCCAGGCAGGGGCATAGTAGCTCCAGGCAGGGGCATAGTAGCTCCAGGCAGGGGCATAGTAGCTCCAGGCAGGGGCATAGTAGCTCCAGGCAGGGGCATAGTAGCTCCAGGCAGGGGCATAGTAGCTCCAGGCAGGGGCATAGTAGCTCCAGGCAGGGGCATAGTAGCTCCAGGCAGGGGCATAGTAGCTCCAGGCAGGGGCATAGTAGCTCCAGGCAGGGGCATAGTAGCTCCAGGCAGGGGCATAGTAGCTCCAGGCAGGGGCATAGTAGCTCCAGGCAGGGGCATAGTAGCTCCAGGCAGGGGCATAGTAGCTCCAGGCAGGGGCATAGTAGCTCCAGGCAGGGGCATAGTAGCTCCAGGCAGGGGCATAGTAGCTCCAGGCAGGGGCATAGTAGCTCCAGGCAGGGGCATAGTAGCTCCAGGCAGGGGCATAGTAGCTCCAGGCAGGGGCATAGTAGCTCCAGGCAGGGGCATAGTAGCTCCAGGCAGGGGCATAGTAGCTCCAGGCAGGGGCATAGTAGCTCCAGGCAGGGGCATAGTAGCTCCAGGCAGGGGCATAGTAGCTCCAGGCAGGGGCATAGTAGCTCCAGGCAGGGGCATAGTAGCTCCAGGCAGGGGCATAGTAGCTCCAGGCAGGGGCATAGTAGCTCCAGGCAGGGGCATAGTAGCTCCAGGCAGGGGCATAGTAGCTCCAGGCAGGGGCATAGTAGCTCCAGGCAGGGGCATAGTAGCTCCAGGCAGGGGCATAGTAGCTCCAGGCAGGGGCATAGTAGCTCCAGGCAGGGGCATAGTAGCTCCAGGCAGGGGCATAGTAGCTCCAGGCAGGGGCATAGTAGCTCCAGGCAGGGGCATAGTAGCTCCAGGCAGGGGCATAGTAGCTCCAGCCCACGCAGCCCCTCACAGCAGCAGATGGGCTTGTGAGATTGAGGTGCATAGCAGCAGAGAGTGACCCTCTCGCTGTAGATGATATAAGAGGACCTGGTGGCTTCGAAAGACCAATTAATGCCAACCGGGTTGCAGAAGGTGACAGAACTGGTTTGCTTGGTTGCGGTCAGTAACAATGATGGGTGACCTGGTGGTAGATGACAAAAGCGGCCGGCCTGGTTGTGGTAGATGACAAAAAAGGCCGACCTGGTTGCAATAGATGACAAAAATGGCAGACCTGGTTGCGGTAAATGACGAAGGCGAGGATGTAGAATGCGAGGGCGAAGGGCAGGTAGAGCGGGTTGGTGACACAGTAGACGAAGGGCAGCAGGAAGTAGAGCTCCACCTGTTGTGGGGGGGAAGGTGAGGGGGTACAAGGGGGGATGGCGTGCTGAGAGGAGGGTGGAGTGATGCATCTACAGAGAGGACTTGTTTGAAGCATGGGTGGGAACAGAAGGGCAGCGGTGCAGAGGAGAAGGGGCAGTGAGGGAGCAGAGGAGAAGGGGTAGTGGCATCTGCGAGAGGGGAAGGGGAGGTGGTAACTGCGGGGAAGGGGAGGTGGTACCTACGGGAAAGGTAACGTGGTACCAGTGGGGAAGGGGAGGTGGTACCTGCGGGAGAGGAAGGGGAGGTGGAACCTGCGAGAGCGTGTCGACGAGTCGGAGGGGGCGTGCCTTCATGGCCTTTATCCTGTCGGCTGGCGTGCGCACCAGCAGCGAACTCTGCCGCACCAAGCCAAGGAAAGGTTGGGGAGGATCGGGAAGTGGGGGAGAGGGGGGGGGGGGCGGCAAGATTCAAACTAGAGAAGACAGTGTCGAAAGAGAAGGGGTGTGCGGCGTGCTCTCATGGCCTTTATCCTGTCGGCTGGCGTGCGCACCAGCAGGGAACTCTGGCAGCCATCGCCCCCATGGGCGATTCACAGCGACGCAGGGTGAGCGGGGCGGAATGGGGAATAAGGAAGTTGGGAGCGCAGCGCAGTGTGGGATGCTGCTGGAAACGACGACGAGAATAGAGAAACCAGCGAACGGGACTAGAAGTGGGGTAAGAGGAAGGGAGATATGAGATTGAAAAGAGTAGGGCCGGAAGTGAAAGGGAACGGGGAAGGGGGAAAGACAAGGGGGGGAATACAAGGGGGGAAAGAAACGAAAAGGGTGAGAGAAGGAGGAATGGATGCAATATAAGAGGAACACTGACAAAGTGGGGTTGGGGGGAGAGGATTGCACCTTGAGTTGGAAGAGCAGCAGGTACCAGACCTGCAGCGCCTCTCCCCCCATGCCCACCCACCCGTCCACCATGGTGAAGGTCATGAAGAACGTGGCCTTCATGGGGATGCGCGCCCCCAGGATCTGCGGTATGCTGTGCCCCGTGCAGGTCGTGGCAGGTTGGTGGGGGGGGGGAGGAAGGAAGTGAGGGTGCCACTCCTGCCACTCATGCCATTCCTGCCACTCATGCCATTCCTGCCACTCATGCCATTCCTGCCACTCATGCCATTCCTGCCACTCATGCCATTCCTGCCACTCATGCCATTCCTGCCACTCATGCCATTCCTGCCACTCATGCCATTCCTGCCACTCATGCCATTCCTGCCACTCATGCCATTCCTGCCACTCCTGCCACTCCTGCTGCACATGCCGGACCTGCCACTCCTGGGTGACCCAGCATTTGTGTCACCACTCCTCTCAGTGAACCCTAAACCCCGACAAGACAAGGAGTGAGGTTCATGTCACGTTCAATCAACTTGCCTCCACACACCACCTTCCACACGGCTCGGGCCAGGTCGAAGAGGTTCGTCCAGGCTATACCCAAGTTGAACTCTCTGTTCGGCCGTACCTGATGGAGGGACGTGGGGGGGAGGCACCTGATGGAGGGAGGGCTTACCTAGTGGTGTGCTCGGAAAGGTCGTAGGTAGCGGACATGAGCGCGCCCCCCATGACGTTGGTGACAAAGACGGTGCCGATGATGAACCAGAAGTACTTGCCGGTGGCCGCCAGGTCGATCTGTGACAGGCTCACGTGGCCCTCCAGGGACGCCAGGAAGATGAGGAGATAGGGCAGTATCGCCATGAAGAGCTTGAGGGCGAGGCCCGAGAGGATGTCAGTGATGAGTGCGTTCACCACGGGGCTGGGGAGCAGAGGGGCAAGGGGAGGGCAGGCAGAGGAGGATGAGGAGACGTGCAAGGAGGCATGCGGCATGTGAGAATTGGTGACATGTGGGGTAGTGGGCGGAGGGCGAGGGCACGGACATGCTGAGGATGGGCTGCAGCCACGGCATGTAGCGGCTGATGTTGTCGAGATTCGCCAGCGACTGCACGAAGCCCACTGGGATGGTGTAGAAGAAGACGACCGACGCCGCCGCCAGCAGCACGAGCACGCGGCGCACAGCCAGCTGCTCGTAGGGGATGGGCAGGTTGCTCCACTTGACGTCGCGCTGCTCCGGCGCCCAGTGTGTGATCCAGTGCGAGCTGTTCTTTGATTGCAGGGTTTGAGCGGCGACGGCTGCGCCCCAGCGCGAGGAGAAGGAGACGAAGGCCGCTGGCATGGTGCTGGCTGGGTCGCTGATCACGCGCTCCCGCTCCGCTATGATCTGATGGTTGGGGAAAGGGGGGAGGGGAACAGGTGAGGAGAGGATGGGAGAGGAAAGGAGAGGAGAGGAGAGAAGAGGATGGGAGAGGAAAGGAGAGTAGAGGAGAGGAGAGGGTTGGAGAGAAAACGAGAGGAGAGGAGAGGATGGGAGAGGAAAGTGTCGTAATCCCAGCCACAAGACCGCTGAGATGAAATGACTTGTGAAGCAGCAGGTCGGTGCACCCATAAACCACCAGGCTCGCAAGCCTATAACCCTTCCGTAGGATCAATGGGGCATTCCCAGCGCTGGCCTTTTGACACCCCCTCTCACAGGGATGGCCTAGGACACGGCACAGCGGCACCGCCAGCATGTGCACACATGGGGATTCGAACCCCAAACCTTCGCTCTGGTACCATGTTAATAACTGAACGAAAGAATTAATTACTAAAATGAGCAAGTACAAAGGTAGATATGGAAAACCTACCTCTAGCACTAACAAAGTTGTGCACCACCTAGACCAAACAATACAAATTATAACAAATATAGTTTAACAGAAAGGAGATGAGAGGAGAGGAAATAGAGGGAAGGTGGAAGGAGAAGGTGGCAGACACAACGGTGGTTCCGTAATGCGGCATTCTTCCCCTCTGTACACACAGTGGCCATTCGTCGTCTCACCTGTTGCCATGTAGTGGATGCCTTTCACATGCCTTCCCACCGCAGTGAAGCCCTCTCCCTTTGTCCGCCCTCCCTCCCCTCCCCTCACCTCCTGCTCCTTCCTTTCCCAGATTATACCTAAAGGAGCGTCAAAAACTGCCCTCTGCATGGCATGGAGTGACCTGCATGGCATGGAAACACTCATTCTCACCTCATGCACAAGGCACCCACTCACACGCACATACCACCCCCCCCCCCCCCCTCCCCCTCCCCCCCCCCTCCCCGCCCCCCATCCCCTCCCCCCAAGCACATGCCAACCGGCCCCAATGCACGTGCAGCCCCAGCCCCAGCCCCAGCCCCTGCCCCAGCCCACGAACACGGCACGGCACACACCTCGTCACATATCTCTTCGAGCTTGTCCTGGTAGTGCTGCACCGCATCCACCTTCTCCCCCACCAGCCCCATGAACCCCATCTGATCGCCACTCATGCACACACACACATGCACACACATGCACACACATGCACACACATGCACACACATGCACACACATGCGCGCACACGCACACGCACGCACACACATGCGCGCACATGCACACATACGCACACACATGCGCGCGCGCGCACACACACACGCATGCACGCGCGCGCACACACACACATGCACACACATGTACACGCACGCACACACATGCGCACACTTGCACACATACGCACAACCATTCACGCACACACACACACACACACACACACACACACACACACTCACAAACACACTCGCACACACACACGCACATGCACCCGCATACACACACGCACCCACGCACGCACACACAAAAACACACGCACAAACACACACACACACACACACACACACACACACACACACACACACACACACACACACACGCACATGCACACGCAAACGCACACGCACAGGAGAGAGATGTGCAGGAATGGGCAACGGAGGGAAGGAGTGCGGCAGGAAAGCAGCACGTGAGGAGGAGAGAGAGTCACCTCACTAGGCCCTACCCTCTTGAGCAACACGAGAGGAGGAGAAACCTTAGACACGTGCAGACATGCCGTGATGTGTAACTCTTCTTGTGTTGTAGGCAGGCACCCACCATCCGTGCATGAGCCACATCCTGCCCGAACCTCCCCCCCCCCACACACACACTCACTCCCATCTGCTCTCCAACCCACACCCTGGCCCTCACTGCCCCCTGCTCTCACCCGGACGGTGAGCGGCTTATTGGGGAAGCGTTCGAGCTTGATGTGCAGCTCCGTGAGCTTGTTCTCCAGCTTGCCGCGCCTCTTCTCCAGCCGCGCCACCCGGTTCGCGTTGTACACTGGCTGCCGTGCCACATTGGCGAGGGGGGGAAGAGTGTGGGATGGGATGGGCGTGAGAGAGTTAACAAGCGCCTAACTAAACAGACAAGCAAGGCTCTCATGCTACATCCACTCCTTCTCCAGCCGTGACACCCTGTTCGCATTGTACACTGATTGTCACGTGGCCGGGAGGGCACGCATACACATGAAATCACGTGGCAGGGAGGGCATGTAGTGAGCAGGTAGTGGGCACCTGAGTGAGCAGGTAGTCGGCACCTGGGTGAGCAGGTAGTGGCCGCGGTGGTTGACGGAGAAGAAGTGGTCCACATGCTCCGGCACGGTCTTGATTGGGTGCTTCGGCACCTGCCGCACCAACACCTGTGGGCACGGGGAGAAGGAGGAAGGAATGGGTCCAAGCAGAGGTGAGATTGGAAATGAAATCGCGGGGAGATGAAATGGAAATAGAATGGAGAACGCACGAGAGGCATGAGAGCATGCAGGTGGGAAAATACACAGTGAGACAGGATTGACCATGCCATGGCGCACACATGCAGAGAGCGGGGAAGTGAAAGCCAGAGGGGAGAATGAAAGCCAGAGGGGAGAATGATTGGAATTTGAGGGAGAGTCAACTGCTGCCAAGCAACTGTCTGTGATGTGCCGTGATGCATCTCCCCAGTGCCCTCACTTTCTGTAAGCGCTCACAGTGAACTGGTTGGGCGCTCACAGTGAACTGGTTGGGCGCTCACAGTGAACTGGTTGGGCGCTCACAGTGAACTGGTTGGGCGCTCACAGTGAACTGGTTGGGCGCTCACAGTGAACTGGTTGGGCGCTCACAGTGAACTGGTTGGGCGCTCACAGTGAACTGGTTGGGCGCTCACAGTGAACTGGTTGGGCGCTCACAGTGAACTGGTTGGGCGCTCACAGTGAACTGGTTGGGCGCTCACAGTGAACTGGTTGGGCGCTCACAGTGAACTGGTTGGGCGCTCACAGTGAACTGGTTGGGCGCTCACAGTGAACTGGTTGGGCGCTCACAGTGAACTGGTTGGGCGCTCACAGTGAACTGGTTGGGCGCTCACAGTGAACTGGTTGGGCGCTCACAGTGAACTGGTTGGGCGCTCACAGTGAACTGGTTGGGCGCTCACAGTGAACTGGTTGGGCGCTCACAGTGAACTGGTTGGGCGCTCACAGTGAACTGGTTGGGCGCTCACAGTGAACTGGTTGGGCGCTCACAGTGAACTGGTTGGGCGCTCACAGTGAACTGGTTGGGCGCTCACAGTGAACTGGTTGGGCGCTCACAGTGAACTGGTTGGGCGCTCACAGTGAACTGGTTGGGCGCTCACAGTGAACTGGTTGGGCGCTCACAGTGAACTGGTTGGGCGCTCACAGTGAACTGGTTGGGCGCTCACAGTGAACTGGTTGGGCGCTCACAGTGAACTGGTTGGGCGGAACTGGTTGGGCGCCCTCTGCTGATCGGCAAGGAAGTCGAGGCGCATGTCAGCGACGGTGCGGTGCTCAACACGCATCATGTAGAGCGCCCACGCGTTGAACAGCCACGCCATCGCCACGTGCACCCACAGCCTGCCGCCCATGCATGTGTGTGTGGTGTGGCAGTGCATGGGGCATGGAGAAAAACTGTCGGACATGGCATGCAAGCAACCATGTACTTGGCACGCCATGCAAATGCACACAGCAGCACAGGAGATTCCAAGGCACGCTTGGCAGTGAGTGCGGTGCTCCGGGCGCATCGGGTACAGCTCCCACGCCTTGAACAGCCATGCCATGCCATCGCCACGTGCACCCACAGCCTGCCCCACACGGATCCCATGAATGTGTCGCGTGGTGTGGTGTGGTGTGGTGTGGCGCAGTGCGGTGCATGGGGAATGGAGAATAGCTGTGAGCCATGTTATGCAAGCAACCATGGCCTCGGCACGCCATGCATGATAAGCACAACGGCAGACTGCAAGCACAACGGCAGACTGCAAGCACAACGGAAGGATCATCACACCAATCTGCTACATGCTGTAGCAGCGTGCAGGCTGGCAGTGGCGGCACTGGTGATGACACACAGGCGGCAGCAGGAGCATAAATGCACCAACAATTCACGCACAGGGGGGAGGGGGAGCATAAATGCATCAACAATTCACGCACAGGGGGGGGGGGGGGCATAAATGCATCAACAATTCACGCACAGGGGGGAGGGGGAGCATAAATGCATCGACAATTCATGCACAGGGGGGAGGGGGAGCATAAATGCATCGACAATTCATGCACAGGGGGGAGGGGGAGCATGCAAGCATGCATGCACGCACAGGGAGCAGGGGGAGCATGTAAGCAAGCAGCGAGCACGCACAGCGAGGACTGGTTGGGGATGTTGGCGATGGAGAGCTGGTCCACAGCGCTGTAGTAGAGGTCGGGGTCGCTCTGCGCCTGCTGCTGCAGCCACCCGCCCAGGTAGTTCACGGGCATGAGCACGGCCGCCGCCACTATCAGGATTGGCCCAAAAATCTTGAAGCTGTCGGGCGAGGGGGGGAGTGAGTTGGGAGAGCAGGGGAGGGGGGGCGTGAGAAAGGACAAGGGCTGGTGGGTACGTGGCAGAGAGGTCTCGGCGTGGGACGTGTTACCTGGTGCTGCCGTCCCAGGAGGGAGGGGAGAAGGGAGGGGGAGAGAGGAGGAGGGGTGGGCCGGGTGCAGAAGGGAGGATGAAACAAAGTGAGAGGCACGAGAGATGAAGGACGAAGCAAGGAGACATGTCGGGGGAAACGAGAACCAAGGGTGCACGCACCCCAGCTTGAGCGTGTGCCACCCACACGCACGCACCCCAGCTTGAGCGTGTGCCACCCACACGCACGCACCCCAGCTTGAGCGTGTGCCACCCACACGCACGCACCCCAGCTTGAGCGTGTGCAGGAAGACCACGTTGTCCAGCCCGGCATGGGCGATGAGCTCGCGCTCGGGCATGGCGAGGGCGACGGCGACCCAGGAGAAGGCGTGGCGGTAGGAGCGCAGGGAGAGGTTGAGCCACTGGCGGCGCTTCACCACGTTGCCCTTCATCTTCACCTTCTCGTACTTCTCCGCTGCTTCCTGTAGAGCGCCCACGCACAACGCGAGTGGGATGGGAGGGAGGGAGGGAGGGGGGGAGGGAGGGGTGGGTGGGTGGGATGAGAGGGATGGTGATGGCCCTGCAGTCAACCGCCCTCTCCTCTGCGATGCCCCCTCATGTGCTCCCTCATGCGCCCCCTCATGTGCCCCCTCATGTGCCCCCTCATGTGCTCCCTCATGTGCCCCCTCATGTGCCCCCTCATGTGCCCCCTCATGTGCCCCCTCATGTGCTCCCTCATGCGCCCCCTCATGTGCCCCCTCATGTGCCCCCTCATGTGCTCCCTCATGTGCCCCCTCATGTGCCCCCTCATGTGCCCCCTCATGTGCCCCCTCATGTGCCCCCTCATGTGCCCCCTCATGTGCCCCCTCATGTGCCCCCTCATGTGCTCCCTCATGCGCCCCCTCATGTGCCCCCTCATGTGCCCCCTCATGTGCCCCCTCATGTGCTCCCTCATGCGCCCCCTCATGTGCCCCCTCATGTGCCCCCTCATGTGCCCCCTCATGTGCTCCCTCATGTGCTCCCTCATGTGCCCCCTCATGTGCCCCCTCATGTGCCCCCTCATGTGCCCCCTCATGTGCTCCCTCATGTGCCCCCTCATGTGCCCCCTCATGTGCTCCCTCATGTGCCCCCTCATGTGCCCCCTCATGTGCCCCCTCATGTGCCCCCTCATGTGCCCCCTCATGTGCTCCCTCATGCGCCCCCTCATGTGCCCCCTCATGTGCCCCCTCATGTGCCCCCTCATGTGCTCCCTCATGTGCCCCCTCATGTGCCCCCTCATGTGCCCCCTCATGTGCCCCCTCATGTGCTCCCTCATGTGCTCCCTCATGTGCCCCCTCATGTGCCCCCTCATGTGCCCCCTCATGTGCCCCCTCATGTGCTCCCTCATGCGCCCCCTCATGTGCCCCCTCATGTGCTCCCTCATGTGCCCCCTCATGTGCCCCCTCATGTGCCCCCTCATGTGCCCCCTCATGTGCTCCCACATGTGCCCCCTCATGTGCCCCCTCATGTGCCCCCTCATGTGCTCCCTCATGTGCCCCCTCATGTGCCCCCTCATGTGCCCCCTCATGTGCTCCCTCATGCGCCCCCTCATGTGCCCCCTCATGTGCTCCCTTATGTGCCCCCTCATGTGCCCCCTCATGTGCCCCCTCATGTGCCCCCTCATGTGCCCCCTCATGTGCCCCCTCATGTGCCCCCTCATGTGCTCCCTCATGCGCCCCCTCATGTGCCCCCTCATGTGCTCCCTCATGTGCCCCCTCATGTGCCCCCTCATGTGCCCCCTCATGTGCCCCCTCATGTGCCCCCTCATGTGCCCCCTCATGTGCTCCCTCATGCGCCCCCTCATGTGCCCCCTCATGTGCTCCCTCATGCGCCCCCTCATGCGCCCCCTCATGCGCCCCCTCATGTGCCCCCTCATGCGCCCCCTCATGCGCCCCCTCATGTGCCCCCTCATGCGCCCCTCAGCAGCTTCCTGAAGCGGTGCGGCAGCTTGTGTGTGGTGGGATCATATGGTGGGTGAGGTGAGGCGAGGCAGCGGACACTGCACGTGCGACGAGGCTGCTGTGAGGCCCAGGGAGCACCGGGGAGCAGCGGGGAGGGGCAGGGAGGGGCAGGGAGGGGCAGGGAGGGGCAGGGAGGGGCAGGGAGGGGCAGGGAGGGGCAGGGAGGGGCAGGGAGGGGCAGGGAGGGGCAGGGAGGGGCAGGGAGGGGCAGGGAGGGGCAGGGAGGGGCAGGGAGGGGCAGGGAGGGGCAGGGAGGGGCAGGGAGGGGCAGGGAGGGGCAGGGAGGGGCAGGGAGGGGCAGGGAGGGGCAGGGAGGGGCAGGGAGGGGCAGGGAGGGGCAGGGAGGCAGCAGGGGAAGGGCAGCGGAGGGGCAGGAGTAGCAAGAGCGAGGGGGACGGTGGTGACATGCGACGGGGCGGGGCAGAGGGGGGAGCGATGGAGCGGGCAATGCGGGCAGGGCAGACGCGAATCCGACATGCTAGGCTCGAATCAAAGCGGCAATTTCTCCAGTTCGCCGGATTGAGAACTCAATTCCTAAGAGGGCTACTACGAGGGCTGCGAGGGCTGCGAGGGCTTCGAGGGTTCGGAGCAACGGCGGGGCAGCGCGAAGCGGCGGCACGCACCCGGTCGTCGATGGAGAACCATTTGGTGAAGTAGACGCGCGCGTTGAGCGGCTGCTTGGAGAGGATCGTGTACGCCACCAGCATGCCCGCCAGCACCGCCACGTTTATCGCGCACGAATACCCCAGCTCGCCGAACGTGCTCCCCATCGCGACGCTTTATTCGATTATAAAAATAACGAGTAAATTATTAGTTGGTATATGGGCCGCTTGTAACGAGTTGAATTCTAAGTCGAGGACTCAAGGTGAGTACTGCGGCTCGGCGAACGTGCTGGTCATCGTGATGCCTGCACGCCGCGCCTTCTAGTGATTAGGGTCCAGCGCGCGTGCGCGGAGAGCTATAAATAGCGCATGCTGCGGGAGCTTCTATGTCGGCCTCCCGCGAAGAGCGGAGGTAACACCAGGGTGAGCTGTGTGTTGAAGCCAACTGGCATGTGCTTCAGCTGCGGGAGGCGTGCGAGAGGCAACGCTTGAAGGGTGCGAGACCCTGGGAAGGAGTCGGGGCTACGGGCGGTGTGTGTCACTCAAGTCAAGTGGCAACTTGGCAAGCTCGCATTGTTGCAGCGTGGAAGGGAAGGAAGCGCCTTGGGCCACCGTTCGTTACAAGCGTGTACTCTCCTTCCCACACCAAGCCAAACCTCTCCCTTGTCCCTTGATTCTTGAACTCTGCTTCGGCTCCAATCAGCTGCAAGATACGTTCGGATACGCGGTTTCAAGTGAGTATCACTGTTATGAGTTGTACTAAACAGAGTGCGCGGAAGACTTCTATAAAGAGAATGTGATTACAGAATCACAGAATGAAGATTGAATGAACAAGGCGAGCGTTTATAGGGCGAATACGTGCTAGGCGAGAACCTCGTGACGTGCGAGGGTTGGATGTGTCGCGATTGGTGTGGGGCGGCTCGGAATTGGTTCAATGCGAAAGTGTAGGCCGTGCCATCCTAACGCGAAGTGCTAGGGCTGTCCTCGCTAGGAGCAGCCTCTACAGTAATGAATGTATATTCATTACACTCTCCCACCTTCTAAATTGTTGGGAATAATAAGTCTTAAAGCGCCTCTGTCGTGTCGAAACTCAGGACACTAGCGAAGCAGTCCGAATCGAAGCATCGCGAGTCAACCCTCGGAGGTTAGGGTAACCGCCTGGAGGTTACGCGAAGGTCAAAGGTCAGCGACCTTTGACTTGACAAATGCAGCGCGACAGCAAGGACACACAACTGACTCGACATTGAGCAGTTGCCCGAGTCGCACTGTATCGAATCGCAACAGTAAAACAGTTTAAACCTATCTATTCGTATTCCTTGTACTCTTATATAAACCTTTGTATGTGCTTGCTTTAATCAACTTACTTTGCCCTCACATACTAGCGCAAGGTGGTTCAAGTACTTTTCATTTCAACGCTTCCGCTATTACAATCCTACTCAGACTTTAAACTCTACAAAGATCCTGGGGCACCTCAGCCCAACATGGTATGAGAGTAGTTAGAGTCTAAAGTTATTTTTCCTTTAACACTCAAATACAAGAAGACATGTCTACTAGGAAGGAGAGGAGCTCCTCCAACGGTTCTCCAGGCACTACTTCTACTCCACCTCCTGTCTCTAGTCTACAGACAGAGGAAGGGACTACTACGAGACCAGCAGCTGGGTCCACGGAAACACCCGCAGGCTTCGATCCAAGCATGATGGAGAAGTTCTTCTCCTTCATGTCCTTATACGAGCAGCACCAGCAAGGAGCGCCTGCGCAGTCAAACAACAGCAACAACAACAACGTGACTCCTATGAGTCTTGACGGCTCATCCTACGCACGCGGAATTCAACAACAACAACAACAGCAGCCTACCTTTGCGCCGTACGAGCCCCAGCGTGGCTCCGTCAGCTTCATGCCGCAACCGCAATCTGCACCGGGACAAGAAAGGGGATTGGACGCATTACAAGTTCAATCGCAATTCGCGCATGTCCTAAAGCTGCAAACGACAAAGCCCTTTGACGGCAAAGACTTCTTTACCTGGTCGTTCGAGTTCGAGCTTATGATGGAAGGAGCACAGATTCTCGGCTTCTTCGACGGGTCCCTGCCATATCCAACAAACGGGACGCAATATGAGAAGCAGCAATATACTTATCAATCGATGATGGCGTACACGATACTGCTGAGGAACATCACCCCGACCCAGCAGCAGAACATCAGGACTTACCGAGGCGACGGCAACTCCGCGGAGCTCGCGTACAACCACCTGAAGAACCTGTATCAAGCAACAGACTGCGTAAATCAAAGCAGGTTAATGGCGCAACTGACAACGATTGAAATGAAACCAGGCGAGAAAGGCATGGCTTATATCAGCCGCTGTCGCGAACTGCGCGACAAGCTTCTTCGATGCGGAGGGTCGATTTCAGAAGACGCCTTTGTCACGGTGGTCATCGGCGGTCTCGGCCCCCACTGGCGCTCCACTCGCGCCATATTACGAGCACACGGGAGGATTTCCGAAGCGGCACTCTGCGCCGAAATTCATGCTGAGCAGGAGGACATGGACCTGCAAGAAGAAAGACACAAGAAGAAAGCATTAGCACCGGAGTTTGCGTTTCACACTCAACGACGATACAACGGCAACAACAATCGACAACAGCAACAAGTGAAGACGGTACCTCCGTTCTGCCACATCTGCAAGACTTCGGGCCATCCCCGCACACACTGCCCGTCTCGTCAACAGTCGACGACACCACATCGACAACTCCGGCCTTCAAGCTCCCAAGTTACTTCAACGCAAGCAAATCCGACGACCACAATCCAAGCTTCAACAACTTCAACTGGACAACCTGCATAAGGAACAAGAAGCATCGTCAACTGCATGGTGAAGATAACCGATACTTGCACAATCGAGTCACCACCCCACTACTCACCAGAAGAAGAGCTCGACAACAGGACGCCTCGCCGCGAGTCACTCCAGCCGAATCCAACGTACGCCGCCATCGCTCAAAGCGAACCGTCCGGCCAAGACACTTGGTTCTTGGACAGACGCTGCGGACAACATATGTGCTCCTCCGGGCGTTTCGTTCAACGCGAACATCGACTCCAGCGAGAAGTAGTCATCACGGTCGCCAACAATCAGAACCTGCACACACGACGACAAGGAGTGGTACAGCTTCAGTCACGAGAGACAAATGTCATATTACACATGTCAAAGGTACTTATCGCGGAGGGACTCGGCTATAACCTACTGAGTGTTAGCCAGTTGATGGCAAAAGGGATCCACTTGGAAGCCGACAGCACCACCCAGGAGTTTAAGTTATACCACGGGAAGGGCGGCCTTTACATCGGAAAGGCGGTGTTGAAGAACAACGGCTTCGTTCTTGATTTCGTCCCCGACCTGGGCACTGCAGACAGCGACGCCATCGTCAACTTCACCGACTGGACACATCCCCCGGATCTCGATCCCGACTTCAGCCCGGGAGGCTTCTGGTACTCGCACACCATCCCTGAGGCAGAACGAACACGAGCATTAGCAACGATTCAACAATCGGCAGCAGCAGAGACAACATCGGCAGCAGCAGAGACAACGACGGCAGCAGCAGAGACAACATCGGCAGCAGCAGAGACAACGACGGCAGCAGCAGAGACATCGTCGGCAGCAGCAGGACCAACGACACCAGTCATCGTCGACGAAGCACCACCGACACCCGCACAACAGCTGAACCCGACTCAACGAGAAGTCCACCGAAGCGCAAACCTCGTCGCCAGCTTCTACTCCAACTCCGACACGTACCAACGCTCACCCGGACATCGCGCTCCTGAAGACATCTGGCACGCACGCACAGGACATCCAAGCAACACAGTGTTAAATAACACAATACGAGCAGGAGTCCTAGACAAAGACTCGCTACTACTACCCGACGGCAGAGAACTTCAACGAGCACGAGGGACTTGCCACATCTGCCCCGAAGCCGACTTACCACATCGACCGTTTTCTTCTCACCACAACCCGAGCGCACCTGCATACGCACCACTCGAGAAAGTATACAGCGACATCCTCTTCAATCGAGAACCTGGACAAGTTACCTACAATTACACGATAACCTTCATCGACGCCGCCACTCGATACGTCTGGCATCGAAACCTACCCAGCCGCGACATGGCACTCGCAGCGTTCGCCGCTTGGCTACCGGTAGCAGAGAGAGAATCGGGAACACAGCTGAAAAGCTTCCAGTCAGATGGAGGAGGCGAATACACCTCTCAGCGCTTCAAGCAGTACTTGGCGGAAAGGGGAATCAAGCAACTCCTCTCCCTTCCCTACGCCCATCAGCAGCAAGGTGTTGCAGAAAGAATGAACAGGACTCTGCAGAACAGCATGCGCAAACTGCTACGTGGCATGCGGCTACCCAACCACCAGTGGCCAGCAGCAATGGACCATGCTGTCATGCTGCACAACTTGCTGTCGTCGTCGTCACTCCCGAACAACGCATCACCGCATCTGCTGTGGACAGGGAAGCTGGGCAGCACAAGCATGTTACGAGTTTTCGGATGCATGGTACAGTACCGACCCCCAGAAGCACGAGCGGGAAGATTTTCACAACGGGCACAGTGGGGACTACACCTCGGCATAGAGAAAAATTACAACGCGTGGAAAATCTTCGACGTCCACACAAAGGAAACAGTAGCAGCACGTGATGTGATTTTCTACGAGCGACTCACCCTTCAGACGTACCTCGCCAACTTGCACGAGAATCGGGACCTCACAGGTGGCTTTCGTGGTGACCGAGCCTTCGCCTCAGCAGCGGACGAAGCAGACTGGGATGAACAGAACGTCGACAACGCATCGGAAGAAGCCGGACCTCTCCCGTACTGCTCCGTCGACGTGCCTATGGACGAAGAAAATCCTCGCGACAGTCACAACGCCGAAGTCTTCTATCACTTCGCCGACAACGGTTACGTAACACCTGCGACAGTCAACACAAATGAAGTAGAAAGGACAAGGCCAAATTTCATGCCCGATCCAGAAGCGGGAGACGAAGCAGCTTATCCCGATGATCCAACACTCCCCCGATACTCACAGACTGGGCTGCAAATCCTCGGCCTCGTCACCGCAGTCCACGGGAACACAGGCAACGCTCTTCCTAAAGAGCCTGCGACGGTTCAGCAGGCTCTGGGGGGGGAACACAGGG